AGAGTTTTTCTCTCAGGAATTTCAGAATGGGGCACAGAGAGATAGTGTCAGCTAGCCATTGGGTTGCTGAAGATGTCATTTCCATCAGGTTTGATCCTGTGTGGAAAGAACCACACACTGACGAATAGATATTTACAGTGAGTAGGAAATAAGAGTGTACCACCAAGAGAGAGTATTGCCATGGTTATGGATGATGTTCTTCACTTTGGAGAGGCCGGTTAAACATTCAGACCTCAGATCCTATGAGAGGCTTTTATATCTGGTAGAAATAAAAAAGTAAATAGTTTTATCATTTTTTTGGTCTCAAATAATTGAGTTCATTTTTGTTTTTTGTAACCAAAAGACTCCTGATTATGTAAGACATCTACTAGCCAATTTGAAATGGAAACGGGCATGCCACTGGGTTCATGTAAAATAAATCAACTGCAGAAAAAGTTTTACCTGATTTACAACATGAGAATATTTTGATGGTTTTGCTACAGTAATAGAGAAGGGGTTGTTTGCCCCTGTGAATTACTGTCTTTAACTCTTAGCACATGGCAGCTGTGGTGATCATCCATCTACTCGCTGTGTATTTCTTGCTCCCTATCTGCCTGGAACAGCGTGGAATCACATTTCCTGGCTTTCCTGTGGCAGGGTGGGGACTCTGCACCCAGATTGACAGACATGCTGTGTGTCACCTCTGGACTGCCATTTAATTGCCCTTAGCCGAACCGTTCAGAATTCTCTTTTTCCTCTGCTCTGATGGCAAGCTGCACGGCACACAGTGGGCGCTCCAGGTATGTCCCAACCCTTGAGCGAGGAAGAGGATGAGGAAGTAAACAGGGGCCCCAGCTGATCCACACTGAGTGAAAGTGAAACAGAATTCTTTGATATGTTAAGGAGATTTGAGTTCTCACAGCATCATCCAGCCTTCCTGCCAGATTCAGTGAGGCTGCATCACACACTACCAAGAAGCTTGAGACCCTCCAGGAAAATCCTCTCAGCAGCCCCTTCTCATCATCTCACACTAGCTTCCATCCTGCCCTCCCAAGAAGTTTTTGAAGCACAGGTCTTCCTCCTCCTGTACAGCTCCACAGCCCAAGTGTAGGGCTCTTGTTCTGTGCCCTTCCCAGTGCTCCTTCAAATGTTAACACATTCAGATTTGTGCAATGTTTCACGGTTCTCATTCAACCTTATGATGCCTTCCAATAGTCATGGACATTCCCTTCGTGAAACTTCCCTTTAGATAGTTTCTACATCTGACTCAGTTATCTCTTCCTTTCCTAAACATTTAATCCTCTATAAACTCATTTTTGTTCTAACCTCTTTCCGAAGCTCATTACTTAAAATTGTTTGGCTACATAGATCAAAATTTACTCCTATCCCTGAATTCCAAGTCTTTACTTTTATCACAAAGTTATAGAATTTCAAAAATAAAAGGTAGAATGATGTGCTCTTCAAACTAGAATGTGCATAGAGTCACCAAGGTATCTCATCAGATGACAAATTCTGGGTCCCACCACCAGAGATTCTGGTTGAGTCTGGGTTGGAGTCTAGTGTCTGCATGGCTGTGAGCTCCCAGGGGTACTGATGCTGCTCTCTGTGGGCACACATGGGCTAGCATTGGATTAGTTGACAATTTTTGTTTTCTCCAAGTCTAAAATGAAGATCAACATCAGCAGGGGTAGTTCTTATAAATGATCCAAGAAAAAAAAGTCATTAAGGTACACACAGTTGGAAATGAGGGCAATGATCCTAATATTCTACTCTTGACACATATTTCTAGAACTTGGATTTGGGATTGAGATTGAGGCTGGAGGCAAAACAACTTCTCTCTCCTCTTTGTGGAAAGAGCCCTGGTCCTGAAACACACATTTGAGTTCTATTTCTTTGGGCAAAAGCAGGGAAATAATGAACTGATGAGAACTTTATGTAAAGTTGCTGAGTTCTAGAAATGACAAAAAGTTAAACAGAACAGGCAATTTTCTAAGGACCTGTTCTTCCTCTAGCTCAATACCTTTTCTTCCCCTATAGCCAACTTATTAACATATCTGGCAACTGGGAAGATTCTATCATATAGCAGTGGCTCCAGCCAAGGGTTTTCTCCTTCCTTCCCATCACTCTACCCTTCTGCTATGACTAGGACCAGCTGAGCTCACCAACTCCCTGCAAGAACTCATCAAAATCACAAAACAGACTAAAGAAGCTGAAGAAGGATTTTAGAGACTTAGAGTGGTCTGGGCCATTCACTTTGTTTTAAATAGAAAACAGATTTGAAGAAGAGAAGTCTTTCCAGGCCATACAGAACAATACTGGCAGGACCAGTACAATGAGCTCCCAGCCCAGTTCTCTTTGACTACATACTATTCTCATGGGATGGGAAAGTTGAGTTGGACAGGACCAAGGAAGTCGGCAGGATGGGTTGCCTGAAGTTTATTCAGCTAGCTGGAAGTCCGGATATAGTTTGAGCAGAGATTTGTGATAATTCAGGGATGACATATATCAGGAATGGGAAGAAACCTTTGAAACTATTATCCCAGCTTTGACAGCTGAAGAAACCAGAGATGACATTGACAACACATCCTTAGTATAAAAGTTGATTCCCTCATTCTGCAACTTTCAAAGCTCTCATTCCCAACTTCTGCTCTTTCTGATTTTCCCACTCCTGACACATTTGCAGTCCAAACACTGAGTATCCTTGCTCTTCTTCTTAAAATCTTGAAGGAAAATATTTTTACTTTTTTCTAGAGGTTTTGTGATTCCTTATTGCTTAACCAGAGAAGAAAAAGATTAGTGTCTAAAGTGACATTGAATGTGAAAAGCTGCCTAGTACTCCTGGCACCTCTGTGATTTCAACCTGAGATTTCACTGGCCTTGGCTTATTAATGGTGGTATATTAAGACCTAATTTATTCAAATTTTGCCAATTTGGAATTAGTAACAAATGTGATAGGGCTTAAATTGAGGTTTACTTTTGAGAATCAAAGAGAAAAAATTAAACTGAATTGTTAAAATTGATGGTATTTAAAGGGGCCATTTAGCCTATTTAAGAGAATACTTTTTTTTTGTTTTGTTAATCCTCATATGAGGATTTTTTTTCTCCCCATTGCTTTCAGAAATAAGAAGGGGAGAGAGAGACCTGGATGTGAGAGAGACACATAGACTGGTTGTCTTCGGCACATGCCCCAACCAGGGATGGGGCGTGGAACTGGCAACCCAGGGATGTGTTTTTGCCTAGGAATCAAACCATGATCTTTTGGAACCCAGGGCAATGCTCTAACCACTGGGCAATGCTGACCAGGGCTATGAGAATGATCTTTTAAGGTATTTTATAAATACCATTTAAAGCATGTTCAGAACTCTTTGAACCATACCTCTTGACAATTTTTATATTAATTACCTATTATTCTTACCTGTTTAATAAGGAAGGTCTGAGATTTTCTGTTTAGGAATATGTTGTTAGTCTAATTTAGTCAATATATGTGTGTGTATGCATTGTAATTAAATTGCACTTCTGTAAAAAAAAAAAGTATCTCCAATTCAGAATTTTGTTTTCTTTTGTGTTTCCCTTCGATAATGAGTATAGATTAATGAAGCTTTTATATGCTTGTAGTGTGTGTGTGTGTATTTGCTATGAGTCATTATGGGTGAAAGCCACTATAGCATAGCAGCAATGCACTCTAATAATGATTGTTTAATGATTGTTAGTAAATAAATGATGTAGTGAGCAAAATGTGTTTCAGAATATCTGTGGTTATGTGTTATTATGCATTAGAAGAGTAAATAGGCTTATTACTTTGTCCTAGGTAAAGAATGCCTTTGGCAGGAGTAATAAAAGGATTTTTGAACATAAGTGCAACACACCCAAAGAGAAGGGTTTCAATCACCATGGAGCTGGGCTGTGGTAAGAGAGTCTAACTGGCTGTGGATACTAGGAGCCATGGAGGCACCACAGTTGGCCGAGGACATGTCCTGTTTGGCAGCACTGCTTGCTGAACCTGAACCCACCAGTGTCCAGGTGATGCTCAGAAACAGGACAACAGATGACCTTGGCAGCATCAGTGGACATGTGCCAAAAAAGATTATAAAAAAAAAAATGAGTCCAAAGAAAGAGAACCTGGAGCAAGGCTCCAAATCTAAATCAAGTTTCAAGGTGCAACTTGATTCGCTTTTTTAAATGGTATCGATATTTAACTACCTGTTCTCTAATCACTCATGGTAAGTACAAGAATTATATCTAAAACCAAACTGAGACCTACCGCCCAAGAATAATAGTGCTAGTGTAGATGAATATGAATACAGAGTTTTATTAAGGCCCAGTTTGCATGTCATACAATTTACTCATTGTAAGTATACACTTCCATGATTTTTACTAAATTTATACAGTGTGGCCATCATAAAATCCAACTTTAAACCGTTTCTATTACCCTAAAAGTGCCCTCATTTCCATTTGCAGTCAATCCCTGCTTCTGCCCATCTCCAATGATCTACATCCTTTCAGGATTTTTAATTCCATTTATTTATTGACTTAGTCTTTCCCCCCATTACCATTTATTCCCTCTACGTCCTCTTCCACATCCATCCCCCCACCTTGCCCCATAATCACCATACTGTTGTCTGTGTCTATGAGTTCTCTATCCTTTCTTTTTCCTTTCTTTTCCTTTTCTTTTCCTTTCCTTTTCCTTTCCTTTTCTTTTCCTTTACTTTTCCTTCCCTTTCCTTTTCCTTTCCTTTCCCTTTCCTTTCCTTTCCTTTTCCTTTCCTTTTCCTTTCCTTTTCCTTTCCTTTTCCTTCCTTTTCCTTCCTTTTCCTTTCCTTTCCTTTCCTTTCCTTTCCTTTCCTTTCCTTTCCTTTCCTTTCCTTTCCTTCCTTTCCTTTCCTTTCCTTTCCTTTCCTTTCCTTTCCTTTCCTTTCCTTTCCTTTCCTTCCTTTCTTTCTTCTTGCCTTGCCTGGCCTTTCTTTTCCTTTTCTTTGCCCTGCGTTTGTAAAATTAAGCACATGGATACTTACAGAGACAGGTTATGTTGAAACGGCTTTATTTTTTTAATCCATAAATATATGTTACTGACAAAAGTGGAAAAATCCTTGACTAAATCTTACTAAAGTGATATCTGTTTACAATACATATAGAATGTGCTTCGACAGGTAAGTAGAACGATGAGATTTGTACAGAGCAGCAGTGACGAGAGCAGTGCTCATCACGAAGCTTGCTGATGGGGGATGAAGAAACTGCAAGGTACAGACAGAAAAGTACTTCCATCAGTGCTACCATATATAATAAACACGGAATCCATAAATTGGGGTAATGCGTAAAAATGTTCATTAATCCCCCCTTAGGAAATTGTGTCCCCAAACTAAAAATATTACAGTAAGAATTGCTTTTTATTAGAGAATTTCAAGAATTCTTTACTACAAAATGTCTAGTTGAGTTACAGAACTAGAGGAATATTTGCCACTATGAAGCAAATGAAGGAGTCCTCCCATGGAGTGGCACTCGAGGGTCCCAGCAGAGTGGGCAGCAAAGTTGAGCAGGGTTCTCCCTCTCCCTCGGGAAGAAGGACATGAAAGGAACATGGTAACGTCATTTCTCTGACTGATGAACGTTGGCGCATTTGCTGATTTACAAGATGGATTTGATGATACTGACTTGTACTCTCAATCTTGCTTCACAAGCTTTCACTGGGAGGACAATAGTGTCCCGCTGAGGGGCTAGGAAGGTTCTAGGATGCCCAACTCCTAGCAGCCCAGAGGTGATGCTTCCCTTCCTCCAGCTGGATCGAAGCCCAGTGTCCAGACTCAGTCTTCAGGACCCAGGTTCTGGCGGGGGATAGAACATCCATTGCCACACAGAGCCTCCGCTGTGAATGCTCCTCTATGGTGTGGAATGCAGTTCCCACTGATCTCAAATGCAGACAACATGCCCTTGTAGGCCAACCTCTGGACCTTTCTCCTTTAGCCCATCCTCTCTCAGAAATCAGAACTCCCTCCCTCCAGCTTTAAGGACCACATCAAAGTGAAAATTTCAAATTCAGAATTTCCCAATGACACAGATACCATAGGTGACTTAGTAGGTGCGTCTATATGTGAAGACTTCCATGGCACACAGTGGGTAGCCTATTGAATGGGTAGGCCCTTACACCCTCAGATATGAGAGCATCCCTAGGTGGCCAAGACCCTGGGGCCCACCCAAGTTCTGGTGAGGAGTCTGGTGGCTGACTAGGGCATCTAAGGTTGTCACCGTGGGGCAGACTTAATGGGAACCATGCAGCTCAGTTGGAATGGGGAGGAAGGTGAAGAAAGGAGGTTAATGAAAGCCCTAACATGTAAGAGTTGGATGAAACTTCAGAGTTCATCTAGTTAAAGCCCCTCATTTTACAGGAAACTCAGGCACTGAGCAAAAATAGGACTATCCTCAGTCACATGGCAAGATGGAGACAAAGCCAGGGCAGAAGTGTATCCAAGAGACTTGGCCCCCAGCTTTTTCCTCCTGTAGTATGCTTCCTTCCGAAATCAAATATAGAGCTCAGGAAGACATATCTTTCATACTGACTCTGTCATTAAAATGCTGCATTTATAAAAAATAGCATCTGAACCCTGAAAAATACTTCATTAAAACAAGCTTCCTTGAAAATACTTCAGAGCAAGGTTTCCAGGTTTAGGGAAGATGATGGATGAATGTATTTGGAAGGTAAAATGTCAAACACTTCCCAAAGCCATGCCTTCTAGGGTCCAGGTCACCAGCAGCCCTTTCAGAACACCTGGGGTCAAGTCCACAGTTGCCTGTGGATGGAATTGGAGGATGGCTGGTGGCAGACAAGGTATCTCTTAAGAAATGGATTATTTGGTGGCAGGATATTTCTCCACACTTGGGGAGTCATGAGGCTATCCAGAATTTTGAGACAGAGGGAGATCTGTGACACACAGGCAGGGCAGGTGTGAGGTGGAACAGTGGCCAAGAGCCCTCAAGGACAAGAACTTTGGCCAGAGTAAGAACCTCTGGGCTAGGGCAGGCTGGGGCAAGGGCTTAGGGGAACAGGCCTACTTCAGGAGCCAGTGCTGACCTTTGAACCAAGATGCCTCCGACAGGGCAGCTTCTCTGGCTCCCCTCCAGAAGACCAGGGTAGGATCCCTTGGCTACATGCCCTGGGCATCACCTTCCAGGGGCAGGAGGGGAAGGATAAACCAATGAGACAAACAGAAGATCTGAGCATCTCATCCTTTCAATGTTTTCACTGAGAGTTGTGGGTGTTACAACTGGAGAGTATAGCAAGACAAAGGAAAAGAAATTTGAGATGAAGAAAGGTAAGTTAAGGAAGAGGGCAAGGCCAGGGAGATGAGAGGAGGAAAGACTGAATTGGCATAAAAAACTGAGCTTATGAAAGAGTTTCGTAGTGGGAGAGTGGAAAAAAGGAGAATTTTGAATGAAAAGATTTGGAACTTTCTAGAAGGCAAACCCATCACCCAAGAGACTGGGGAGCCAAGTGAGGGGTTTAACAGAATTCTTGGGAAAACCTCTGTGACTTAGGAACTCAGGGAGTCAAGAGTTAACTGGAGGAGCAAGACAGGGAAGGTGGGAGGGAATGGGGGATTGTGGGAGCTTTGCTGTCATTGAAGGCCAAGGAACTAGCAAGAACCTTCAGGGAAGAGGGAACCGGGCAGATATCAGTTCATTCCAATATCAGGACAATGGAGACTCGCACAAAGAACAAAGCAAGCAAAGGAACATTCTGGGCTCTGGGCTTCCTTTGCTGGGGGAGGGGGACTTTCATTGTGGGGCAGAAATCATGACATCCGGGTTCTAATCCCAGAACCCTTCCTTATTTTCTGCCTGAACTCATCTAGTAACGTGGCTTTGCTTGCTCTGCAAGCTTGGATGGGCCAACCGAATGAATAAGACACTTCTGTGTCCTAGTTAAGATGTCATCTTTATGGACTGAATTGGAGCAAGTCTGTGGACTCCTCTCTTTCTCTTCCCTCCCTTCCTTCCAGACCCCAGGCTGAAGCAGAAGAATCGGTGCTCAGATAGAATTTTCTGATCTGATCTGATCCCAGAGGTTTTACACTGGATAACGATAAGGCTGGGATGAGAGACATTTCGGAATCAATCTTTCAAACAACCCCTGAGACAGAAAGACAGGGCCTAGGAGAAATGTCATCCTGAGGGATGGGGAACGGGAGCCAAGATGCTTCTCATAGAATGAGAGAGATGAGATCGAGTTTCTGGTTTGTAGTGTATGTGTGTATAGACACGTGGGAAGGCCTTTCTCACCCACCCATATCCCTTCCCCTCTGCACCAATAGGCAGCCTTCCAGGGACTGGCCTGGGGCTGGGTTAGAGGGCAGTGGGTTTAGGGACCAGCTGTGAGAGACACTTCTTTGTTTCCATAAAGGGCCAACTGCTCTGCTTGGGGTGGTTTCCTCCAGCTTCATCCTCTTAACCTCCCCTCTAGAACAAACTCTCATAAACCCTGGGGCCAGCCCTGGGGAAGGTTTATGTGTTTGTAGGGGAGGAAAGCAGAGCTATCCCTGTCCTCACAGCCTCACAGGACACTACCCCCATGGGGGCGCTGAGGGCTGTGGTCACCACCCTGAGCCCTAATACCCTCATGATTATGTGATTATGGGAACCTTGGGAGGAGACAAGAGCTTTGGAATTCTTGAAATAAGTCAGAGGAATCAGTCAATTGATTTCCCTGTGGTTGTAGTCTGGGTTAGGACTAGAAAATCTCAGGGCTGACACTGGGGAGTTCTCCTGCCCCAGCCCCACCTCCCTTTTAAAGGGCCATATGTATTACATGCAGAACTGGGGGAATCTAGAATCCCAGTTCAAGGTCCTTGTTTCTGGAGTCTGACTGTAGTGAGTCACATTTTTAGCATCAGACCTTCCACCAGTACTTTGGAGCTGATCTCCCCAGCCCCAGCCCAGGTAGGTGCCCTGGCCCTGAGAATGGGGGAGCCCCTTCTCTCCCCATTGGCTCTGGTCTTGAGGGAGTGGATGCTGCTTAGCTCACTGTCCAGCCTCCAGGAGGCAGTCACATCCTGCCCTCCCCCATCTGGAGGCAAGGAAAGGGCTGGGCTAGGCTGGCAGGGACTGGCCCCCCAACAGAGCAGAGGGAGTCGATCTGCCTGGGGCCCATGTCCCCTTGCAGGGGAGAGACCAGGTGGCTGCCCAGTGAGCCCCAGACCAATCCCTGGAGTACCGTTATTTACATTTACAACTGAGCCTCAGTCCCTTTGACCCAGAGGAGGCACTGGTCTGAAGCAGCAGCAGCCAGGAGGGAAGGATGGAGCTGCAGGAGGTGAGGGGCTGGAAACAGGCAGAGAGCAAATTCCACATCAAGATGTGGTCGGGAAGTGGGCAGTGATGGGGACGGAGGAGTGGATGAGGTGCAAGGACCACCACACACGCCCTCCTTGACCTGGGGGGTGGCGTGGGGTGGGGGGAGGTGGAGGGGCAGGGCTGCCCCTCTTCAGAAGCCGCTGTCTCCATCCTGTCTGACCTGCGTGCTGGGAGACAGGCGGAGCCCTGGATGAGGGGAACAGCAGCCCCTGACACTTTGGGTGTCACAGTGGCCTCCCCACCTGCAGCTGTCTGGCCATGGCTGAAGCCTCCAGGGGGCAGTGTAGGGGAGGGGAAGGCAGGCCTGAGTGGTGGGTCATAGTTCAGACCTAGAGGCCTGGAAGAGGTGAGGAGATCATCGATAATCGGGGTTTCTAGGGAGGGTGTTCCAACACCTCATCGATACTCTCTTCTGAGGGGGCTGGAGCAAGGCCCAAGGGAATTCAGGGTAAAACATCTGGGGCTAGGGGAGGGGCAAAGTCTCCCAGAAGAGGGGGGCTCTGTGGGTGGGACAGGCTCCCCAACAGTGGGAGTGGGGAGGCAGCAGAAGGAAGAGAGCCCCTCCTCACCCCAGGGCTCCGGGGACGGGCAGGGTTCAGGGTGTGGCCTCGGGGGCTCAGCAAAGGGCCACTTGGTGGGGACCAGCGTCCAGCAGGCCGAGGAGATGGGTATTGTGCTTATGGACACAGCAGCTCCCTGGCTCCGGAGTGCACAGGCAGTTTTAGGCACTAGAAGATTCCGGATGATGCGGTTCTAGGTAAATGAATGAGACCGAGTATCCTAGTCGGTCAGCCACTGACCGCACCCGCTGGCCAGTTCATACCCAGGCAGCTTCTGCCCGGGTCAGGCCAGGGCCTCCCGGCTGACAGGCCTGCAGCTGAGCCCAAGAAGGGAGCAAGGACATGGAACTGGAAGGATTGCTGTTGGGGAGAGGGGGGAACTGGGCTTAGCCTGCTCTCTCGCCCCAGACTCTCCTGGGAGAGGGAGTGACTGCCCTAGAGCCCAGGTCTGTGCAGCCACCTGCTGTGCCGGGGAGTATGGCTTTCGGGTGAAGACAGCCCACCCCCACCCCCTGCAGAAAGAACAAGGGAAGGGAGCCCTGGGGGGCTAGAAAGTGCCGCCCCAGGCCCCTCCTGCACACCCAGCTCCACCAGTCGCCCGGCCTGTCCAGGGCCAGGCCTGTCCAGGGGGATCACACGGTCACTTCGGTCTTGCTGGCGCTGTAGCAGGTGTGATGGCCAGGGATGTAGTGCAGCTGCTCCACTGTGTTGTGCCTGCGTGTGGCGAAGGCCTGGCGCTTGGCCGCCGTCTGGCTCTGGCCCAGCGTAGCATAGGAGTTACTGGAGGCACTGGGATGGGAGTGCATCTTGGTCATGCGGTAGCGGTCCAGCATGGGCGTGGACACGAACACGTCCGTGTGCGAGATGGCCCTGGCCAAGGATTGCTCGGGGAAGGCCGTCCGCTCGGGGGACAGCAGCGGGTCCTGGGAGTGCAGGCGCTCGGTGGACAGCAGCTGCTCGTCCGACAGGATGCGGTCGTAGGGCATGCGGAACTCGTCGGGCAGGCGCCGCTCTGGGGACAGCACCCGGTCCTGCGACATGGCCCGGATAGGCCGACGTGGCCTCTCGCGGGGCAGGGGCTTCTGCTGGGACATCTGGATGACGTTGACTGGGAGGGTGCCCCGGGCCGCCAGGTCGGGCAGGTGCCGCCTCCTCATGTAATACTCGTCAGCCTCCTTGTCGGCTGCAGGACAGACAGACAGACAGACAGACAGAGAAGTCAGCTGGGGACGAGGTGACACCACGTGGCAGCAGCCAGGACTGGGCTAGGTTCCTGCAGCCCAGGCAGACGGAGGCTGGGCTTCTGAGAGTCCCGCAGGCTCTCATTCACGCTGGACTTGTTCTCCTGCGTCTGGGGCTGGCCCGAGGAGCTCATGGGCTCCTCGAGTCCCAGGGAGCTATGGCAGCATCGAGGACAAACCCTCTCCTCCAACTCCTGCTTGGTGCTGCTGCCACCTCACCCGTCCTGTAACAGAATGGCTCCTGGGGCTGCTGAAACTCCCGGGGACAGCCAGCAGCTTTCCCGTGGGGCTTGGAGCCTCTCTCCAAGGGGGCTGGGTTGCAGAGCCTGCTCCTGCTACAGTGAAGCTGAGCCAACCACCAGGCACTGTGAGAAAGCTACATTGGTAACTTAGGAATGGAGTAGCACTTTCTCTGGAGTAAGAGCTCATGCATAGGAAGCCAGCACGTGGGTATCCGGCCCCCACACACCACAGAATCAAGCTACATACCTCTTATGTGCACGCTCATCGAGCGAGAATAATTAGCACTTCTTTCAGGTGCTTCCCCTGGTCTCCATGCGGGAGGCCCTCCCAGACTCTCTGCCTGCTGAACCCTTGAACTTACCCAGGGTACCTATGCCTATTTTGTCCCAAATTTTAGGAATGGGGCTTCCTACAGACAGGCTTTTCAATCTCTGCAGAATATGGGAATGCTGACTGCTCCTCAGTTTTCCCAGAGGACAACCTCTGGCTAGGTCCTGCCTCCTGAGCCACATATCCTCCCAGCCTAGGCATGCATTGGGGTCCTTAGATCATTGAAGATCCCCACTGCTTGCCATGAAACTCACCATTCCACCTGATCTGGACTTATGTGCTGGCTGCTCTGATGGTAGATTAACCCATAGCTTCAAGCAAATGCTCAGTCCTTAGTTGGGGGGTCCTAAAAATGGACTTATGGGGATGCGGGGGCAGCAGTTCCAAGGGTGGGAAGATAGGAGGGAAGAGCTCTTCGCCATGCATCTTCTAGACACTGTAACATCTTAAACCAATCAGGCTGTTTCTTGTATCCCCATCAATCCCTGGAGCCTTCCAGACTCAAATGCAGAGCTGGGATTACTGGGTGAACTGGACTCAGCTGATCAAATGGGGTATGAATAGGAGAGTGGGCCATCTCAGGTTCTCAAGACAGTGTTGGCTGGATTAGGGAGGCAGTGGTTTGGGGGCCCAGTGAGGGGACTCAGAGAAAGCTCTGGTGTTGGCCGCCTCTACTCCCAAGATCTTGAGGGTGAGAAGGCCCATGGGTTGGAGGTGGTTCTCTCCTGCATGCCTTCTGGGGGAATGCGGACCTGAGGATTCCATGGCTCCTGTTCTATCTAAAGGGGAAATAGGCTCAGGCCTCAAAGTATGAAAACAAGGAGCTTGTCCATGGTCTTCTTCCATGCTACCCTCGCTCTTTGTTTTTGGGATTTCACACAAGTCCCTTGGGTGTAGGGCCAGAGAGTGAGACACAGGAGGATGTCATAGAGGCTTAGAGACAGACCTGGGACAACCCACTTACTTAGCCTCTTCAGGGAAGAGTACTTGCTGGGGTGGCTCTTCACTGCAGACTCGTAGGATGGGGGCAGATGGGCCAAGTTCTGGAAGGAGCGGGAAAAGGACAGGTCATAGGGCTCGGTGGCTGATGTCAGGATGTTGTTCATTCGTGGCTTCTCTGTAAAAGAAGGTAGGGGTGCATCGCATTAGTGAGGATGAAGGCTGGGGAAGGCAGGAGGGAAAGGGTCCAGGCTGTATTTTGTATCCCCATGTGCTAGGACACAGATGGTGCTGGTGACTCAGTTTCCCTCATGCTCAGTTCCGGCTGTCAACAAGCCTGAGTGCAGGTGCTGTTTTGTCTGCCATTGGCCATGATGGCAGTTTTCCTTCCCTTGAACGGCAAACTCTTTCTCCTAGTGCACCCCTGGGCTGTCTGATAAAGATGTGAGCCTGATGGAGCTGGGGTGGGGGGTACAGAGGCATGGTTGTAAAGTGATATGTTTGGGCATTAAAGTTCCGTCATTTCTCAAATAGTTTTAGGCCTATTAGTTCCCTGACTCAGAAAAATCTGCATTTGAAAGAGGGGGAATGACTGGGCTTGTCTACATACCCACAGAACTGGGTACAAGACCTGGTTCCACTGAGACCCCAACCCACACTGTCCATGATGCCGTTTCACCTCTCACATCGCCATTTCACCTCGGGCCTCTCCAAACCCTGGGCCTGATAAGTCACTGTGAGCTACAAAACCACTTGCTCTCCTTCCATTTTCTTCCCTTGAAGCCCCCTTAGCTATCTCTGAGCTGAGGGAGGAAATAAGGAAGTAAAAATGCTTAGCACATCATCCCTCCTTCCCTTGAGAGATAGACCTTTGAGATTCCAAAACCTGGAGAGAGAGCAGGGAATGTTGTTCAATGCAGGCATGGGTAAAAGAATTGGGGAAGGAACAGAAGAAAAGATGAAAGTGAGATAAGGTGAATAACGAATGAGATTAATGAGCTGAACTGGACTCTGGGGGGCAGAGTAGGATTAGCATAGGCATTGGGGCATTGGGATTGGGGAGATGCAGGTATGGGTGAGGGAGGGGACGTGATGGTGGACGACTGGAGATCTGGGAAAGGCAGACAAAAATATCTTGGTGCTTGACTGACTTGAGGCACAGCAAGAAGTCAACAGATATTCCTGGGAAACGGTGGTACCATTCCAGCAATGAGGCAGGTGAGTGGCTCTCGCATTATCCCTCCATAGTCTTTGCTTTGGAACACCAGAGGATGGGGCAGGCTCTAACTTTGGACAAATGTAACAGAGGATTGTGGTGCCCCATGCCTCTTGGCAAAGAGAGTGTTAAACCCTGGAAGACAGTAACTTTGTGAACCAGAGGACAAAGAGAAGCACTCCTGAGCTTAGTCCAAAGGCAGCTTCAATACTGGGCATCCCTGGCTTTCTATCCTGTCCTGTTACTGGTTCCCGCAACTCAGGGGTTGAAAACAGGGAAGCCTAGCCAATGAGCCACTGTTCACACCAGCACATATGCGAGGGGGTGGGGGATGCTCTGAGAGACCAGAACATGCTGTACAGAAAGAGCCTCCCTGGCATGGACGAGGATAGATGCCAGGACATGGAGTGGGCAGGAAGCTGAGGCCACTGCTTATGGAGCTGGGGAGAGCCACCTGCCCCTTAGCTCTGGTTTCTTCACTTTGGAGAAGAACGAACTTCCCTTTGCCTGTTGGCATTATCCTCCCACCAAGGGCATTGTTCAGCTCGCCCACTTCCAAGTGCATCCTTTCTGGCTGCTCTGATCTTGCTCTGTTCTCCAAAACAAGCCACTGAGTGCAGGCCAGGGCTTCCTTGCCTTTTGCCTCCACATGATTGCCCTTGCCCCTGCTTCTGCTTTCTCTCTGATGGCAATGCCCTTCCTTACTCTTTCTCCAGTCAGATTTCCCTTCACTCAAGACCCTTTGCTGACGATGTCACATTTGTTCAGCCCACAGTGATTTCTGGTCTTCAAAGACCCATGGCTCTTTTAGTCCATGCCATCCACTATATGTATACGGGATCTTTAATCATTTTGCTTGAGTGATCTTGATCTCCAAAGATTGTGGTCTCCTTGACAGCAGCGTTCTGACTTCCCAATTTTTCTGATGCCTTCATAGTGTTTGGCTCAAGATAATGACCCAATTAATGCTTTTTGGCCAATCAAGTGGACACAGGTCTCCTCCTTTCTTAATAGTTGCTCTGTCAGCTCCTGGGAAAAGCATCAGAGACAGAGCAAACTCTGCCTCCACCAGGTTGTGAGCTGCTCAAGGGCAGGGACCAGGTCTCATTAACCTCCTCTCCCAACACCAGGCAGAAAAGGGAAGGAGGAGGAGGGGAAAGAAAAAAAAATATATTTCTCCTGTTGTAATTAGGAGGCTGTACTTGTGTTGGCTCCTTCTGGGGAAAACCAGCGCAAGGCTGTTCTTGCAGAATGTCACTGAGATGTGAGGCATTCTTCGCTCGCCCTTTCTGGCTTCTCTTCCTGCTGCTGCCTCATCACCATGGGCATCCCCCGGGCTCTGTGCTTCTGCCTTCTGCTTTCCTCTCTCAGCCTTCTGGCACAGACTGCTCCCACTCCCAGGGCTTCTGTTACTGCTTCCAAACTGTAACTTACATCTTCAGCTGTGACCTCCCTCCAGACTGCATGTACGCATTTCTAACTGCTTTTGAGTGATTTTTTTTTGAAAAATCTTATGATCATATCTAGCTCTTAGTGTCCTGATCCGAACTCACCATCCTAGCTCCACCTCCTGTACACACGTGTTGCTTTCCTTATTCCTTAGATTATATTAATAAGGCCCCCATTCTTCTAATTAATCATAGCTCACTCATAATGGACTCCTCGCAGCCATATTGGTTAGTAATTAAATTTTCCCAATTCTTCCTCCAAAATGTCTCTATTACCACTGCCAGCATCACCAAGCCTAGAAATGGTGATGAATGAGAAGTGATATCAACTTTTAACTGACTTCTTCAATTTCTCCCAGTTCTAATTTTTTTAGAGTCCCCACAACCTAAAACATCTTATTAAACTATTGCTCTCATCACCACATATTTATACTAGGAGCCTTGCACTGGGGGAGAGGGGGAGATGAAAATAGTTCACCCTGTCATCCTAACTGTAATACTCCTCCTTCTCAATGCCGAACACTCAGATGTGAGAGAGGTGGGTCTCTCCGCCAGGTAAGCTGCAGAATGTATCCTTTTGAGTTTCTCTCTCATGAAAATTCACTGGCGCTTTCACATTCTTTCAAGCAAAGAGAGAAGAATGACTGATAGTTCACCATTTACATGGCTGTCTTATGTTCCATCAAGTTCTGAGCAGGTACCGCAAAGAGTTTTGCTCTGCAGCTCTAAACGTGAAGTTGTGAATTGGTGGCAAGATGCTGGAAACTAAGGGGGATGTGTGGTTTGCTACCCTTTCGCTCTCTGCTGATACTCCTGTGCTCCCCAACTCTCAGCTTCTTCCCCTGCCGAGAGGCTGAACCCAGTTGGGTTTTGAGGTTCATCAAATCTTGACTAGTTTGGAAGGATCCATACAGTTTAACGAGTCTCATGTCATCTTATATTGGTACCATATGTAGCCTTGAGCAAAAGAGCATGCTCACTCCTTGCTGTGGATATATGGAGTTGATGACTGCAAGCTAAAATGGGTTCAGAAAGGGTATCACTTTTTCTCCTTCATGATGGAAGACCACTCCGATATCAGAGACAGAACACTAAGGGAACAATGATCTAAAAGTGAGAGTGAGGCCCTGAGGCCCTGGAGGAAGGTGGGCACCTGACTCCTGACACCTCCTTAGCTTCAATGAGTCAGGGATTGAATGTCTGATGCCTTGGTGGGATGGAGCCACTTGGAATGAGGATGGAATGCAGAGGACTCTCTGTCATCTCTCACCATGTGCAGGGGTCTGGGTAGCACTGCTTAAAATCGGATGGTTATACTGATGATCACCTGAAAATCACAGAAAAGAACATTTTAAAGACGAGTTCAGGCATTCCATTGTCTCTCTAACACAGCGGCTCTTCCCTTGGCCTCCGATGTGCTCCTTGGAGTCAAATGAAGCACTTTGTAAAGGTGCCGGACTTTGGAAGTCATAGAAACGCGAAGAGCAGGGGTCAGTGTATTAGGCTCAAAGGAACTTCCTCTGCTGTTCCTGTCTCTCTCCTTCTGCATCAGGGCTTCCTCTGTCACCATGGTGACCCACCCACATCTGTGGATCTGGCTGACCAGCAGTAGAGGCTTTGCTGGGGAGAGTGCGGGTGGGGAGACTACACAGTAGAGAACTGGGCTGGGGGAGTAGATCCTTCTTTGAGGAGGGGGTTGTTAGGGTGTGGTTAGCCAGGAAGATGCTCTCATTTAAGGTGCTTACACCTCATGAGGCTGCGGTTTGTCCCAAGTCTTTTTGTTGTTATTAATCAAATGAGGACTGCTGTTTTTTTGTTTTATTTTTAGAGAGAGAGAGTAGAGGGAAGGTAAAGAAGGGGGAGAGAGGGAGAGAGAGAGCAACTTCTATGTGAGAGAGACACATTGATTGGTTGCCTCTCCACAAGTACCCCAACCTGGGCTGGGGGTCGAACCTGCAACCCAGGTATGTGCTTTTGACAGGAATCAAACCTGACCCTTCAGTGATGCTCTAACCTCTGAGCTGCACCAGCCAGGGTCATCCCAAATCTTCATACACAGGTGTCTGGGTGCATCATGAGATATGGCAAGGTGACATGAAGTGTCCACTGTCTGGCATTGGTAGTCCTGGGGCCTAGATTGTGTCATTCCTATAAATGACACAGCCTGATATTAAAAAAAAAAACAAAAAAACACATTTATTTTGTCCTGGCAGGTGTGGCTCAGTTGATTGGAGCATTGTCCTGTATACCAAAAGGTCACAGGTTAAATTCCCATTCAGGGCACATACTTAGGTTGTGGATTTGGTCTGGAAGGCAAAGAATTTATGTATCTCCTCTTCTCTCTCTCTCTCTCTCTCTCTCTCTCTCTCTCTCTCTCTCTCTCTCTCTCTCTCCTCTCCCTCTCTCTAAAATCAATAAGCTTATCCCTGGGTGAGAATTCAAAAAGAAATAATAATAAAATAAAAAACATTTATTTCATTTATTTTCATTAATAATGCAAAATCCACGTGGACTAAACAAGCCACCAAATGACTAGAGGTCCAGTTGCCAAAACACAGAGTTCAAGAGCTTTTAAAACTGAGTGAAGATTTGGCTTATCACTGAAGCACACATTGACATTGTAGTATTGCTTGGATTCAACGTTGCATTTTTATTTTCCAAAGGCACATTCATCTAATTTCAGTGAAAGCCAGGGGGAGAAGAAGCATGAGGTCTTTGCTTTCATTTATCTAAACCATGGATCACAGCTCGGCCATTATCTTAGGGCTGCATCTGTGTATGCCTCTTGATGGCTTATTATTGAAACCATCTTTTTTGCCCTTGGCATTGCATCCTCTGGGCTCCTCATTCTCCAGCTCCATCACTGGGTCCCTTTTCCTCTTTGCCTCTCTATGGGTCCATGCTCCCCGGGCTCAGGTGTCTTCATGAAGAATGGGGCTCTACCTTCTCAACACTACTCCTCCAGCTGGAGGTCCATCTGCTCTGTGAGGTTAGAGTTTAAGCTGCTTATGGACAGTGCATTGAAGTTGATGCCCTGAGCCTGAACTACTAAAACCCAAAGTGAGATCATCTTCCCCCCCCCCCCCCCCCCCCGCAATGTTCAATCATCTGTCTATCTATAGTGCTAATGTGCCCTGGGCTTGTACTGTGAAACTTCAGTTGTCATTCACCATTTCTCTCCCTTCATCCTCCACTGCCAACGAATCCCCCAATCCTGTCCTTATGGCCATCTCCTACATCCAGGCCCACAATGCATCTTTCTGTTCAGCTTTCACTTAGCTCTAATCTCTGGCCATTTCTAAGACAAATCATCTTGTGTACTCCTCCCAGACAAAATTTTCCATACCAATAAAACCATTACATCACCCCACTGGTTCAGAACACTCTTGAAATAGCCATGGACACTATCCAATGGGGTGTGCATTTGGGAACGAAGCCAGAGCTTCTCACATGAAGATATTCTCCTTTCCTAAGACGGAATATTAAGTATATCCAGGGAAAAACATTTGCCAAAGGTTAAATCAATTCCGTTCTACTGCATCTGGATTTAAGCAAGGACAGAGAATCCAGGAAGGGAGAAAAAGGGTAGGTATTTTCTGCCTATCCTCCCGAGGCAAGGAGAAAGCCAGTTACATTGTCCTTTTGTTGCTCTTGTTTGTTTGTAAGCAATATATAATAGCAGCATCAAAGAGGCCCCTGCAAGAAATGAGAAAACCCAGGTGGAATGGTGGAATGCCAGTGAGAGAGAAACACTTCTCACATTCCATTAATAGTCAAAGCTGCCACAGTGACATTTCATTGTATTTTCTTTTCTTTTCTTTCCCCTGTAAGTCACTATATGTATGTTTGTTCTCTCTCTCCCCTTCTTTCTCCTGTCTCTCTCAATATTGCTGTGAATAACCAGTAGCACTTTTCTTTTAGGGAAGAGTGAGAATTAGATTATAGCTCTTAAAATGTAGAAAAATATGGTGATTTGATCTTCACACTTGTGCAAAGTAGCAAACATGTGAGGTTTTTCATTGCAGCATGTTTGTAGCATCAAAAGGAGGAAACAACCTAAATGTTTATACACATACTAGAGGCCCAATGCACAAAATTTGTGCACGGGGTCCATAAGCCCATCCTGCACCCTCTCCAATCTGGGAGCCCTGAAGGCTTAGGCCCACTCTCCATGGTTCTATGCTCCCTGTGGGGCCTAGCCACCATATGCCTGCTGCCTAGGGCCTCTCCACAGCTGCTACCCAGAGGCCCTCCGTGGCCGGGGAAGAACACTTGCCTTGTTACCACAGTGACAAGCAAGCATTCTGCCAGGCTGCTCATACTGCCTGCTCTCAGCAGCCACCGCCCCAGGACTGGGGGACTCTGGTGGGGCTGAGGACACTGGGCTCTGCCATCTTGTTGCTATGGGCGCTGCCATCTTTGTGATGGATTACTGGTTATTTTGCACGTTACCCTTTTATTAGATAGGATGTACACACACAGATAAATATGTATAGTCTCCACATATGTATGAATGCTACATATACTATTTTTAACCCATTGCCTTTATACTTAATGGACAGCATATCTTGAATATACTTTCATGTTTTGAAATATTCTTTAAGGTATTTTATGTGGTTTTAGACTAGTCCTTTCTGTTGAACAGTCTATTGTATATTTCTATATATGTAAGTGTATTATGTTTACATAATATATAGACTTAAGAATTCCCCTCTTACTGTGTATTTAGGTTGCTTAAAAGTTTAATAATGGTACACTAGATAGCCTTGAACACATATCTTTGGCCATGTCCCATTTTCTTAAATGAATAACTAAAAGCAGCATTTCTAGGTGAACACGTTGCCAGTTGCCTGGCAATGTGATGAAGTGGACTGATAGGTTTCCTCCTGTTGAACCACTCATCGGTTCCTGGGCAATACCTTACCAGGTGTACCAGTTAATAATGTGGATTTTTTCCAATAGATGGAGTAAAACATAAATTGATATACATATATGATTTGATATGTATACTATTTTGTTGTATTGACAGCAAGTTTCAAAACTTCATATGTCAAATTTTCTGAAAGTGTTAACATCACAGATATTTTTACACTTAAAAATGTCTAATTTCGTGGCAAAAAAAAAAGAGCATTTGTGGGAAGTTTTAATTCATTACTTTATTTTGAAGAAAAAGTTATTGTATACTTTGGGTAGCTTATGGCGAACATGCTCCATCTCAAGATACTTGTAAACACTGGTTTAAACACTTTCAAAGTGATGATTTTGAAGTGAAAGACAAAGAATGTCTAGGTCAACTGAAATACTTGATTTTGGTGTCTTATTCTTTCATTACAACACTAGATACTATATGTATATATGTAATTCCTATACATTCAGAAAATTTGTGTTTTTGTGCTAACATATAGGCTTTTTATATCAAGTATAGAAGTCTGGTGCATGAAAATTCATGCACTAGGAGGGGTTTCCTGCCCCCTCTCACAGTCTGGGAGCCCTCAGGGGTGGGAGGTAACTTGGCAATCAGGGGAAAGCATCACCCCTATCACACTTCTGCTGCTCCCACTGTTGGCAGTGTAAGCCTTGGCCAGGCCTGGGCAGGTGGGCAAATGCCATCTGAGGCTTGCCTGTACCTTGAGCAAGGCCTGGTCAACATGGGGGCTGAGGAGACTCGGGGACTCCAGAGACAGGCATGCAAAGTGGTCAGACCTGCCTCGGGGTGGGCCCAGCTGTGCCGTGTGCCTGCCACTCTGAGTGCCACCATCTTGTGGCTGTGGGTGCTGCCATCTTTGAGGGCACAGCATTCAATTAGCATATTCCCTCCTTATTGGCTATGGGCATGCCATTTTTGTAAGGGTGTGATGGTCAATTAGCACGTTCTTTCTTTATTAGATAGGATAATGATCTTGTAAAGTCAAATATATATTGTTCCACCTTTCTATATGCTTTGAAACTATTAATATCCTATATAATAAAGAGGTAATATGCAAATTGACCATCATGCCCTCATAAGATGGCCTCCCCTATATGGTCACAAATGGCCACCACAAGATGGCTGGCAGGAGAGGGCAATTGGGGGAGACCAGGCCTGCAGGGGAGTGGTTAGGGGTTACCAGGTTGGCAGGGGAGGACAGTTAGGGGTGACCAGACCAGCAGGGGAGGGAAATTTGGGGAGATCAGGCCTGCAGGGGAGGGCAGTAGGTGGGGGGGACCAGGCCTGCAGGGGAGGGAAGTTGGGGGTGGGGTGGACCAGGCTGGCAGGGGAGGGCAGTTAGAGGCAACTGGGCTGGCAGGGGATGACAATTGAGGGTGATTTGGCTGGCAGGGAAGGGC